AATGCACAGTGGGTACCCCTCTCGGGTCACACTCTGCTTCAGCTGTACTCTAAGTTCTCCTCCGCTCAGACACCTGGGCTTAAACGAATGCAGACTTCTACTGCAAGGCTTCCATCTTTATCCTCTGGACATCCCCACCTGGATGACTTGCAGTTACCTAAAATCCTACTCTTCTAGAACCAGATGTTTCCTCTAGCTCCTCTGTGTGGAAGTGGCAGCACCCTCCCCTTAGCTGCCAGTGCCCCAAACCCTGGAGAGAACTGAGGTCCCACCCCCTCACTTCAGTCACCAGGCGCCTGATCCTCAGACCTCTGTTCTCCACCCCTGCCCTCCAGGCTCTCAGCACCACAGGTCTAGACTCTGGCAGGTATTCCATAACACGTTTCCCTGCCTCTGGTATCTCAACCTCTCACCCCAGCTTCTCAGCAAAGATCTTCTACACAAGGCTTTCTTAATCAAAACCTCTGACGCCTGATGAAAATGTTCTGAAGTTCATTGTGATGGCTGCACAACTCCATGAACATATTAAAAACTGCCAAATTGCACACTTTAAATGAGTGAAACTGTATGGTATGTGAATTATATCTCAATAAAGCTGTTATCTTAAAAATCCCTATGATGCCAGTGATTTTCCCACACTGTAAAACCTACACTCTGGTCTGTCCTACACTGATGGCTCGAAAAGTATGGCCTCATGCTATTGTTCTGACCTGGCCCCCACCTCTCCCAGCAGACTCCATCATTCCAGGGCCAGTCACTGGTCCCCAGCTCACATCCCCTGTTCCCACACTTGTGTCTCCACTCACACTATTCTCTCCTCCAAGAGGAGAGCTCCTCCCAGAGGACCTCCCAGCTCCCCTCTCCCCAGCTCTCAGCATCCCCTAACCCCTATTGCTTCTCCTCCACCACCCATCCAGGGGTCTGTAATCAGTGTCTGTTGTGTGGTTATCTAGCTTTTCACATGCATATGGATGCATTTGTTTTCCCAAACAGATGATGTCAGAGTTCATGTCCTGCACCTTGCTCTTCTGCCACCCGCCCCTCTCTCTCCTCCCTGTTCTGGGTGACCCTGGAGGCAGAGAGGACTGTGTGAAATCACTCCCAGGCAGCTGCAACATCCCCAGCACAGTGCTGCGGTGCCTAGAGTGACCCCCCACAACCCCCATTCTAGGGGTCGCTTGGCAGAGTTCCCCAAGGCACTGTGCCAACGGGAAGGCCCCTGTTCCACCTTCCCTGGGCCAGGACGTATACCTGCTATGGGGTTTGAGGGCCCCACCAGCCCCCAGATGCTCAGGGCCAAGGGGGTCATGAGGGTCCTAGGTCAGGGTGCGTGTGAGCCATAGGAAGCAGGGGGAACTGGCCTCCCACCAGCCCAGGCCCTTCGGGGCTGGTCCCCAGCTTGCCTGTGACCACTCTCTTCCCACACCATTCACACAATGCTCCGCACCTGCACTTTTTCACAGTCCTCCCAGACCACCCAGTTGACCCCCTCCCAGGCCCAAACCAGGAGGTTCCCCCAGAGGGGCTTCAGGGTCTGGGAGCTGCTGCTGGAGCACAGCCCCTCCCCACCCACGAAAGCAGGAAAGAGCCCACTGCTGTCAGAACTACCCACTTGTCCCTGGTTTGCTTTCTCCTCACCTTCTGTGCCAACCAAAACCAAACCTATTGTTGCAGGGGGTGGGGATGAGGTCGAGAGGAGAAAAGCCCAGGATTCTGGGCAGCACATCCCAGAATCACTAGCCCCTGACCCAGTGGCCCTGGAGCAGTTCATCCACCCCTTCAGCCCTAAGAGGGCTCAAAGGGAATCCACCTCAAACCCTGGGTCTGCCACTCACTTTACCAGTCTGTACAATGGGGTGAATAAGAGCCCTACCTCCTACATCTATTTTAAGATACAAGAGAATCTGAGTCATGTGTTTAGCATGGTGCCTGGCACATAGTAGGCATTCAAAAAATATTAATTTTTTTTAAAAAGTATTACGTCACTAATCAGGGCGAAAGGCTGGTAAAGTGTCCTTAGGAAACCTAGCCTCTAGCTTAAGACCACACCCAGGAATGGCTCTCGCTGGCTCCCAGGTGCGGCTGCTGTGGCATGACCCAGTGTCCTCTCTCCAGCTAACGCCGCGAGGCTTCCCCTAATCCCCAGCCCATACAGACACACACATCGGCCCACACAGATGCACTCACACAGACACAGACACACACAGAAAGGCACGTATGCACACACATATAGACTCACAGACAAAGACACAGACGCGCTCACACATGTGGGGACACACGCTCTCTCACACACCAGGCCCCGGGACCCCGGAGCAGGACTCCCGGCGAGGCCTCCCCACACATGCGTCGCACATTTCACCTAAAGTGTGGGCCAAAGAGGCATTTGGAAACCAGCTTGGGAACCTCATAACCATTCATAACATTGTTCCGAGAGAAAATACAAAACATTGCCCTATAAACAAACATTTGCAATAGAATTTCTCCAAGAGCTAGGAATCGCCTGTGCTAGAAAACTAACAGAGCAAGAAGAGAACAACCACATAAACTTAGTTTGCCTCTGCAAAATTAATACCAATTACAAAAACATTTATGTGAACTGCTTGCCATTTACACCTAATTACCATGCAGCACAATTATGCATACCATTAAGGGTATGCCAGATTAATTAGGCTGTACGTTTTGTGTGATTACACCCCCACACCCTCAGTCCACATATGCCCAGCTTCCAGAGGGCAGCCTCTGTGACCAGGGGACATGAGCAGGTCTGTAGCGACCAGAGAAACATTGGCTTCCAAACTCAAGTTGACAGTGGTCCCCGTCCACCACACCCACCCCAGCCAGAGACAGCCTGACTCGGGCCCAGGCTTTCTTGCCAATGTCACCACCACAGAAGCCCCTGCTGAGAAGCCATCTTCCCACCAGAGCCTCTTTTGAAAGGCAGAGATGCTTCAAAAGTCTCCCGGTCGGTGTGGCTGCATGTCGTCGCAGGGACCAGGAAACAGCCCAATGGCCACCACGGGTGCCCGCTCACAGAGGAAGCTAGCCTCACCATCCAGACCAAAGTCACCCGGAACTCATGTCTCAGACTCCACCAGGGCCCTGCACCCCTTTCCCTGGCACATGGAGCCAGCTACTGGGCAAGGTCCCAGCTGTGGTCCGCCCAGGCCCTGGAGGGGTCAGAGCCTCTCCCTCCCTTGCCCTCTGCTCCCCACACAGCCATGGCCACCCTGCGCTGACCCCCACCTCCCTTCATTAAAATGAGAAAAGGAACTGGCCCCACCCCAATTCCCATTTAGCTCAGCAGATACTCTTCAAATACACTGGGGTGACCCAGGTTTGGGAAACAAGGGAGTCAGTGGAACATGGTAAGTGGAGCTTCCCAGGAACCAGGAACTCAAAGCTGACAGGGGGACAGGCAGGACAGAGCAAGAAGAGGCTCAGCAAGTGAGAAGGGAGAAGGGCGAGCCCGGGGGGCCGTGTCTCCTCGGAGCCAGGCAGGGACCAGGCTCCGCTGAATTTTAATCCTCAAACACCTGTGAGACCAACGGCAGAAGGATTCTTTTAAAACACAAGTGACATAAAATATCCAAGTTTAGGGCAAGAAGCAGTGTTTGAAACAAACAAATGACAATCCAAGCCTGTGAAGGTGTCTCCATTTTGCAGGTGGCAAAACTGAGGCTAAGAGAGGTTAAGTGATCTGCCTGAGGACTTGGGTAGGAGGTGGCAACACCGAGGGGAAACCACTGTCTGTTCAGTACCGAGTCTCGTGGCCTCTGCCTGGGTTCAGTGATGCTGACCTGGCTCACATCATTTTTCTAGGAATTCTCTGAAAACAGCCCTTCCGGTTACACACAAAAGACTCATATTTTTACTTTAGAGAAACAGTTTTTGTTTCTTTTCTCTTTGCTTACCCAAACTGCTCTCCCCAGCTTATCCCCACCTACCTTGGGAGACCTGCCTCTGAATGGAAGGTGGATGTCAGCTTTGCAATGTACACACCACTGTCAGAGGCTGATGAGACTGACCTGGGGTGCTGTGGTCGAGGAATTGAGGAACAGGGTCTTGGCCTTGTGGCTCATCTTTTGGGGGAGATCCAGAGAAGCAGAAGCCCCACTCAAGCCCCCAACATCAGTATCCCCAATGCACGTGGTCTGAACACCTGGTTAAGTCACTTTCCTCCTGAAAAATCTATAGGGATTGCTACCAGTTTGGGAATAAAATGTGCCTACCTTTCAAATCCATCACCTGGACCCTGCCCCTCCCTGGGGCCCCCACATCTGGGCCTGGTGACACAGGTGCTCTCTCCTTCTGCAAGCCTGGCCCACTTGTGCAAATCCTAACCACCCTCAGTCCCATCCCCGGTCCTGCCTCCCATGTGAAACGCCCCCAGATCTCTCCAGACTCCCTCTGACATGTGCCCTCTCAATGGACGGCATCTCTACCACGCAGCTGGCTGAGCCAGAAACCAGTCACTTCTGCTCCCCACACCCTCTCATCACCCAGCCATTCCTCCCCAAACGCCTCACGAAGCAGCCCCCTCCATGCCTACAAGGCTGCTCCTCTCCATTTCTACACCTGCCTTCTGCCCGGGCTCCCTGGCCCCAGCCTCACCTGTCCAATTTCCCTTCCTTGATGCCCCAGGGTGATCTTTTTGTCAGATACAAATATAGGCATGTTACTCCAAGCCCAACACCTGTCAACAGGTAACATCCTGGCCTTCGGTGGTCCACCTCTGGCCTGGCCCTGCGGCCTCACATCCCGTTAGTCCTCGGACCCCATCACTCCTGTCACATCAGGTGAGGAAACGCCCTTGATCACCTGGCTAACTGCTTCCCATCCTTTGAGATTCTGCGTAACCCTCACTTTTAGAAACTTTTCCTGACTGTCCCTCCTCCCTTGAATGAGATATCCCTTCTCTGAGCCCCTAGGAGCCCCAAGCACACACTGCAGAGCTCTCCCCACCCGCCTACGGTGTGATGGCCACCTTGCCAGACTCTCACCTCCGCTGCAGGCTCCTGAAGGACCAGCGCAGTCTCTTCTATCTTTATAGCCAGTGCCCGACACATAGTAGGTCTTTAATAAATGAAGAGATAAGTGTTATTTGTGGCTCTGAAGCAAGGGTCCTCTGGAGAGAAAACACAAGAACTGCCAGGCCTGCCAACCTGGGGCCCCCGCCCCTCACCAGACTGCCAGAGTCCAGGCAGCACGAGGGTGCTGACTAAAGAAAATGCAGAGGCAACGGTCTCCCTGACTGGGCTTCCTGGCTGAGCTTCCAGTACCAGGCAGTCCCACAGGCCACCACTAGTTGAGCCGGGAATCCCGGCCTGTGAGAGGATGGCAATAAATACCACATCACTGCTGGTAACCAACCATCAGGAACCATTGCTGGGTGCCAGCTGCCAGGCCTGGTTGTGGTCTAGACCCTCCCCTGCCTGTGGACCAGGGACAGAGTCAACCCTGCCAGCAGGCTCAGCAACCGGAGGAAAGGCCACTGCCTGCTCTGGGTCTAAAGAGACCAGAGGGCAGGGAGGGAGAGGGCCCAGGGCTGGAGGGACCTGCTGGGTCCCCAGTGGGCATGGGCTCTGAAGAGACTGATGGAAGGACATCAAAATTAAAGGTCCAGAGATCAGATGGCCGAGGAAATGGAGGCCCCACGACCCCTAAGTGGTGATGAGAGTGACAAGCAACATTTGGTGGGGGGGTCTTAGAACACAAAGGGGCCTGCATGAGGTCTCCTTGCCTCATCCCCAGAGTCACCCTCATGCAGCCCCGTCATGACCCCACTTATAGAAAAGGAACTCACACCTCCTGAGCACCTGCTAAGTGCCAGGTGCAGTGCTGACTGTTTTCATACAATATTTCATTGGATTCAAGCAACACTGGTGAAGTGCGGGCGCTCTTCTTATCCCTGATTCACGGATGAAAAACCCACAGCTCAGAGACTTTAGATCTTGCAGTAGCTGTGGTAGCAGTAGGGCTGAGACACAAATCAGGATCCACCCACCTCCTGGTCACTTCTTTGCCCTGCACATCTGTCCCCCACCGGCCTGGGGCTGCGGGCGGTCCCCAGAGGGCTTGCTGCTGCCCTTGATCTTCCTGCCTTACGTCCGGGGCGGGGGGGGGGGGGGCGGAGCAGGCCTGGAGAAGTCCACATGCCCTTTCTCATGTCATCTTTACCAGGGCCAAAGCAAGCTCCAAGAGGGCACCCATGGGCGGATGAAAATGGGAGGTGGGCGCTGTTGCCAAGCAACAGACAGAGGAATTTGTATCACCCCTTCTCACCTCTCCGCCCTGTCACCGGGTCACTGCCACCTGCTCGTGGGCCTCCAGATCACAGTCGGGCACAGCTTGAGCCCACATGCCAGACAAGCTACGCAGCCATCCCCTCCATCCCTGGCGGGGCCTCCTAAAGCCCCACGCTGTCCTCCCTGCACACGGCTCCCAGGCTACGCCAGGGCTGGGTCACCCGAGCTCCACGCGGGGACTAGGCCCTGGCTGTACCAGGTCACAAGAGCGACCAGATCAAAGCCTTCAGGGAAGATCCTCAAGGATTTGTGTCCCATCCTGTGTCAGAACTGAGTTTCCAGTCACCATCCTGTAAAGCTAACTTGGTCCACGGCCCCCGGCATGTACGAGGATGCAGGCAGCTGCCTGTTTTCCACGCTTATGCAATCCCTTCCTGCCTAGGCCTTCGCTTGGAGACCTCAGGGTCCGCAATAAATCTCCCTGCAACCTTTCCAGAAAAGACTCCAAAGTACCTGAACAGCCCCACCCTTAACTGTCAGTCCTCAAGCCAATTTCATATCCATTATAAAAGAGTCCACCCTTCCAGCCCAAGGGTGACTCAAATTTTTTTCAAGTTCTTATCCAGAAGCTTTAAAAAGTGCAGTTTTATTTTTGTTGTTGTCATTAAGAAAGGAATGCACGTGCCTTTACATTTTTTCGAAGGTTACAAAAGTGAATAAAATGGCAAAGACTGCCGACACGTTTGCTGGGTTATCCTTCCAGAAAGACTTTTTCTAAGCATGTACAGACCTATAAATGTGCATATTGGTATAAATTTTAAAGGAATTTAAAAAATGAGATTACACTCTTCACACTGCTTTTGGGGTAAATCCATACCATATCATGGGCGTCTATTAGATTCCTCTTTATCCATAAATTTAGGCATCCTTTTAGAATCTGTAAAATTAATCATACAAGACCATTTCCTCAAGAAGCCCCGTGCCAACAGGTTCTGTTTCCTGGAGTGCTGGAGGACCCCAGTCACCTGGCCTGGGCCCAAGCGCCCTCACCTGCTCCTCCCAGGGTCCTCTGGGGAAACTCTGAGGGGGAGGTATGCTCCCAGGGCCCCTCAGCCTCCTAGCCTCCCAGCCCAGGCATTCCCATTCACCAAGACAGGCCCTACGTCCAACCTACGGCTCAGTAAACCACAGATCTGACCCCATCGTCCTCTGAGCATCTTTTAACATTTTCAAGTAAGGACCGCTGGCACACTGGGATCGAGCTGATCTATTAAGTCTAGAACATCTTCTGCACTGATCCCCAGATCCACCTACATGGTAGCACAGCAGGAAGAGCACAAGACGAGGAGTCAGGACCCAAGTTCCAGCCCTCCAGTTACTAGCTGTGAGAGATGGTCCTCCGTCCAACTCTGTGCACCCAGACAGGACAGCTAACAACCGGCTCAGAATTAAAAATGACCTTGACATTTGAAACAGAAACAGAGAGGGAAGATCAATAGGGATGACAGTGAGCAGGGCCATGACCACAGGAAAGAGGAAATAGTAACCTGGTTATAGACATAAATAAGGCTAGGAAGCCTTGGGGGTCAGAGGGGACCACAGTAGGATGGGAGTGGGCAGTGCTGAGCTATGGCTGAAAAAAAAATTCCACTCCCTGCTAGGATTCTGCTAGCAGAGCCCCAGGCATCCTCTCTGACCGCCCTCCCCACAACTCCCCCGCTGTCGCTGTTCTCCAGACAGGCCTGCGATGTGACCAGCAAGGGAGACACGGCCTGGCGGCCCAGCCTGCTGGCTGTCCTTGCCAGGGACTGCCAGACACCTGCGGCCACACTTGGGGGCACAGCTGCCAGGCCAGCCCAGGGCATCTCCCCTCCAAGGTGGGGGCTCAGTTCTGCTGCACGTGGAGGAGGGAGGGGAGAGGGCAGGGTGAAGTCAGGGTCTGCTGCGCCCCACCTCCCACTTTCTCTGAATGCTGGGGTGCCTCAGCCTGAGGGAGGGGATGCAAAAGGGGCACAGAGACCTCTGGGAGGCCAGGCCAAGGACACTCCTGCTGCCCATTCACATCATGACTGCCATCACCGACAGAGACCTCGCCCCCCGGCTGGTGTTCCCCTTAATCGCCATGACCCCCTGGGGTTGGTGTAATTTAAACCCTGCTCTGTTTCCCTCCAAGTCTGAGCTCTTAAGCTCTAGTCTACGGAATATAAAGGAATCATCAAGATCCTATACCAAATGAGCTCAGCTGGCCCCTTCCCTGCCCTCCCTTTCTTCCCTCTGTCTTCTCCCCACCCCACCCCCTACAGCCACCACAAGCAGGAAAATTCTGAGCGATTCTCCACGGGCCACACAGGAGTTACAGAGTGCAGGGGCCTGCTCTCCTCAAATCAATGGCTGGTCCCCAGTACACGGATGCCCTGTTCCACCTCCCCAGAGTCTCCCCCAAGTCTCCCCCACACTCCAGCCATGGCATCCCTGACAGCCTGGCTTCTTCCCCTTGGCCTAGAAGCTGCATCTCTGTGCTTCAAAGCCCATGTCAGGTGCCACCTCCTCCAAGAAGCCTTCCCTGATCCCCTTAGTGGGTTGTGACCTCACTGTCCTTTAAGAGTTTTATTCCTCCCTCTACTGCAACCTTGGTCTGCGGTCATTAATTAGTTGGGCACATCCTAAACTCACTCTGTGTCCCCTCAAAGTGCAACACAGGGTCTTGCCCACAGGAAATGCTCAGCAAATCTCTGGTAAATAGAAGCAAAAAGGCTGCACTCAGGACAGAATCCGAATTAAGAGCTGAAACCACAGCGTGAGGGATTTAAGGTGGATACAAAGACAACGTGTTGACAATGTGATTTGCTCAACTCTGGGACAGATTGCTAAGCAGTGCTGAGGAGCCTCCCACCTCTGAAGGTTTCTCAATCAGAATCAGCACTTTACTCATCTGCCTAAGATTTTGCAAAAGAGGCAGGAAGATGGACAAGCCTTCTCAGAGCACTTCCTGCAGCGCCAGTCCATGTGAACCGTCCCAATGATGACGATAACCAGGCCAGCTAACACTGAGCATCTGCGTTCCGCCAAGAGATAAGGCGCATTCCCGTTTAATTCTTACAACAAACTACAAGTAGAGCCTAGTCTTATTTCCGTGGTACAGGCGAGGAAACGGAGGCTCGGAGAAAGTGAGTTTGCCACTCCATATCCCACAGCTGGGAAGGGTCAGAATGCTGCTCCTTCCAACTCCAGCGCCCTCACTTCAGCTGCCTCGAGAGAGGCTCATGTCCAAGCAAGTCCCACCTATCCCCACGCGGCTGCACTGCACACCATGTACACAGAAATCAGCACGGAGACACGTGCACCACACCCTGTCTTGCCCACACACTCAGCCAAGGGGACGCAGGCTTGGACACACATGCAAATCCGCGACACTGCGTGGATCTCAGATTTGGGAGGGGTTTTTTTTGGGAAAAAGAGTCAGGGAGGGAAATGACTGAAGACGAGCCCTCAAAATTTGAGTGGAAAGGAATCTGGCACCTTTTGTTTACTTAATACGCCTTGCTCAGGCACAGCAAAGCACACAGGCCCACAGAGCCGCCCAGCCTCAAAGGGCGGGCGGGAGGCTGACCAGCTCTACTATCCATTAGACACCAAAATGGAAGTGGAAACAAGTCCCATGGGCCATTCTCTGGCCCTAACTTTTGCCTGTTCTCAAGTTAGAGGCCAGAGACACACTTCACCATCAATGGAGCACAGGATGAGGAAAGACAACATAGGCACCAAGTCAGGGACCCCAGGCTCCAGAAAGTGGAAGGTGGCAGGAAGTGCCAAGGGGAGGGGAGCATGTGACAGGCACATACTTGGCCCTCCTGGCCTCGGGCTCTGAGCAGTACTTCCAACCCTGGAAGAAACCGGGCCTGGCCCCACACCCAAACAGCCCCCACCTAGCTCCAGAGCTAGGGGTTCTCAGAGCTTCAAGTTCTCTTTCAACCCTAAATTCTAGGGCTTGGATTCTAATGGTAACATTTGAGGCCCAAGGATGGGGAGAGGGTGGTCTATTTTTAACTCACCCATTAGAGAGCTGGCAAGACTGCTCCCGAGTCCCCTTTCTATCTGGTTCCCAAAAAAAGGAGGCTTGATGGAGTCCAGGCTCACACTGGGGAAGAATTTGGGTCTTTCAGAGGGGCTGGAGCCTAAGGAACTGGTCTTTAAGTATGCGACGGCCACAGTAGCGGCAAGCAGAAGAGAGCCCAGCCACTAAACCTGCCGCTGGGAAGAGGACAGGGACAGAAAACACAGATGTGCAGCCAGCTTCCCGCCACTCAGCATCGCTCACAGAAGCCGAGCTAAATGTCGGATGCGGGACCCAGAGGCGGCCAGGGCAAGGTCCCTGTCCCGTGGAGACCACAGAGAGGAAAGACTGACACGCAGTGCAGGAGCCCAGGAGAGCTGTCGCAGGGGACAATCTAAGTTCCCCAGGTAGCAGGCCTGGCCCCACTTCCTTCCAGCCAGGTCACCCAGGGAAAGTATTTTATAGCTTGTCCTGTCTTCTTTGCAGGCCACTGGGAGGACCAGTGGCAATGACATGTGACTGTGATAGTAAAATATCCCTAAGAGACTCAGGAGCTGTGAATTAGACTCGAGGAGGAAATCTCAGAAATTATGCACACAC